GCTAAGAAATCAAGTGATTTGGGGGCTAGGGTTTCGGAATAGAAAGAGGGAGAGAGAGAGAGAGGGACAGAGAGAGATTGAAAAAAGTGAGAAAATAATGAGTTAGATCGACTTTTAAGTGAGTTGGCTCGAACAGACTGCTTGAGCAAACTTTCCATCACCCGAGCGAACAACACAAGTTCGAGGGGATCGCTCGAGCGACCTTTTTACCACTCGAGCACAAAACAAGAGGTTCTAGAAGTTTTGCAGAGCTACAGTGAAAATACTAGGAGCTTGAAATTTACGCTTGAGTGGCCACTTCATTGCTGGAGTGGTCTCGCCTGCAAAATGTCAAACTACTGAGAGCTACCAATCTTCGCTCGGGCGACCAAATGACCGCTCGAGCGGTCCATCACAAACAATTGTCACAAAGTACATGAGAGATAGTGAAAACTGAACAAAATTACAAAAATATAAAACAATGTAACAAAGAACCAAATAGGACCCTAGTAGAACAAACTTAAAACACGACCAACTTAAAACATGATGACCAGATTAGTATCCAAAGTAGAGAACAATGCGGGGCTTTTTGTGGAATGAATGGCTTTTGTGAACAATATCTACTTGTGGGGCTTCAAAGTTTTTGACAAATCTAAAAATTCCAATGATATTGATTTGTGATTATGTTTCAATTTTAAAACAAAAAATAACAATCCCAATCAAACAATCAAAAACAAATCGACACAACGATTTAACATGGAAAAACCACAATTGGAGCGCCTCCAATTGTGATAAAAAAAAACCCACAGGTGAAAGCCACAAAACAATCCACTAAGAAGACAAAAAAAAATAAAAAATACACAAGTATACTCTCGAATAAAACCGACCCCAATGTGCTTATTCCACCACCATCTTTACCTCGGAATTATCTTGTCCAACGTTGAATCCACAACGCTAATGTCGAATCCATGATAATGAGCCACTTCGGAATCCACCAAAGTTTTAGACCCAAGTGGTAATGCCCCAAATTTTAATGCCCAAATGATAATACAATAATCTTGGCCCTTTTAAAGGAAAAACCAATTATACAATCCCACACTTGCATTACATGATATAAACCGTTCCTCATGCGATTATACAAAACAAAACGGTTATTCAAACCCATACACACAAAGCCCTTGGCTTACAATCAGAGTCACAACAATTGAGAACATCGTGCTCTCAGCACACACATCCACACCTTTAGTTAGGCGGAATCACCACATCCTTTCTTGCACAAAAATTCCATAGGGTGAGCATAAAGCCCAGTAGGAAATCCTTAACAAAGCATATATATTTTATACAAATCTCAAGAGATGAATGCACATGCCATGCCATGCTTTTTTTGAAAGTAAAACACATCTTCATCTTTTGAAAACCACCATGCTCATTGATGTCATGCAACTTCAACTGTTCAAAAGTTTATCAATTTAATTCAAGGGGCAGTACATACAACTTTGGTAATCCCTAGGCTGGTGTCTGCAAATAGGCATCACTAGCACTACCAAACCCCACTCTTTACCGGTCTCTCACCGGAAGGGAAGTGGTGCCTCATCCGCGTGTGTTTTCGGTCTTTCATCCTGGACGCTCAGGCCAACTTATCAATTTCATTTACACCACCTATCAAGACTTACTACCGTATTTACCCCAAAACCATTTCATGAAAACTTGTTTCTCAATATTTTGTTCTCAATGCAAAGTTTTCAAATCAAATTTCAAAGTTTATCCTTATCAAATGAATTGATATGCCAATGTAATGATTAATAATACAATGCAATATTTCTTCTATTTTCAATACTTTCTCATAGTATTCCCATTGTGATCAAAATTCTCATTTCTTATTTCAATGCAACGTCGCAAGATGAATATATATATATATATATGTATACTTTTATATCCAATTCATCCAAGAGACAGCAAAATTATTATATTTCGAGCAATCTCAACAATTTAGTCATTTCGAGACTATATCAACATTTTGAACAACAATTTCCAAAACTTCAATAATTCTCATATTCCATGAAACTCATAATTTATATGTATATAAATAATTTTTTTTTCAAAACATCCATTTATTTTGGCACACAAAATAAATAAAACAACAACTTCCAAGGATTTTCAATATCTTTTAAAAACCCCCAATTTCTAGGTTTTCTCACCAAAACCACTCATCTTCAATTATTTGAAAGAAAATCACCAAAAACATCTCTCTTCAATCCTCATAGTTCAAAACCCTCAATTTTTATTTTAAAAGGAACAAGAAAGTAAACCCACTTTCAAAAATCACTCATCTTCTTGAATCAACAATCAATTTTCAAAACTAATCAAAGGATGATTTCGAAAATCATCTAGATCTTGCAAAAGCATATATATAACTCAAAGAAAATCCCTACCTCAAGTTTGAAGAAGAAAATAGTTGAAACCCCCAAAATTAACGATGTCGAAACTCAATCTCCACCGTACACAACGAAGCCCTCGAGAAGTTATACAACTTTGATGAAGAACTTAGGTCTAAATCCCAATGAATTTGGAGAAATCAAAGAGAGAAGGTGATTTCTAGAGAGAGAAGCTCCAGATCTAGATTTTTGGAGAGTCTTAAAGAGAGAGAGGACTGCAAAAAGTGATCTGAAACATCAACTTTACGGATTGATATAACATGGTCCGTTCGAGCGTGGAAAGCTTCGCTCGAGCGCCGAATGCACCTTCATAGCAGTTTTGCAGATACAGACCCCGCTCGAGCGCCAGACTTCCTGCTCGAGCGTGGAGCAAATTTGGTGAAGTCCGCTCGAGCGCAAGAATGCCCGCTCGAGCGGAGGAGCCAAATTCTGGGCAACTAAATTTTGGAAAAACAAGCAACAAACCTGTTCCGAACACACGACTACAACCCAGCAACCAACAATAAGGGGAAGACATGGAAAACAAGACATGACTCACCGTTCAAAACCATACAAATCTGAGTCCGGAACATCACAAGAGATGGGTCAAAACCGGGATCGCTATACAAGTTCTTCGGAATCCACCGAAGAACGTTTCTCTCTTTGTGAACAAAAGAATAAGAACAGCCCTTGATGTTTGACAACCTGCAGTTCGTTGATCAATCGATCACCTTCTATACACCAAGGAAACTCATATAAAACACCTTCAAATAGAAAACACTTTGTTTTTTTCTTGTTCTCTGAAAATCTGGACGACTTAAACCTTGAAAACAGTGAACAACACACTTTATAAAAAACAGGATCATGCAGACCGCTTGAGCGCACATTTCACAGCTCAAGTGGTGTGACTAAAGGCGGTGTGAAACATATAGGCGAACCGCTCGAGCACAACTTTCATCGCTCGAGCGGTCAAAACTTTCTTCCCAGAAGTTCAGGCACTCTACAAAAATACTGGATGACCAGGCAGCTCGATCCCCGTACTTAGTCAGCGAAGTGGCAAACATGAAAGGATTAAGATTACAAACTCCTCTGTATAGGCACAATTCGGGTTGGATTTGCATCTAAATACTCATAGCCTCACTGAAATAAAAGATCGAATAAAATTATAATTGAAAGAAGTTTTATCAAACGGGATTGCCAATAACAAAAACTTAATAGTTTCTTATTTGAATTTCCATTTGAATCACATTGAATGATTTCACAGCTCAAGTGGTGTGACTAAAGGCGGTGTGAAACATATAGGCGAACCGCTCGAGCACAACTTTCATCGCTCGAGCGGTCAAAACTTTCTTCCCAGAAGTTCAGGCACTCTACAAAAATACTGGATGACCAGGCAGCTCGATCCCCGTACTTAGTCAGCGAAGTGGCAAACATGAAAGGATTAAGATTACAAACTCCTCTGCATAGGCACAATTCGGGTTGGATTTGCATCTAATTACTCATAGCCTCACTGAAATAAAAGATCGAATAAAATTATAACTGAAAGAAGTTTTATCAAACGGGATTGCCAATAACAAAAACTTAATAGTTTCTTATTTGAATTGCCATTTGAATCACATTGAATGAATGGGCCATACCTTCTTTATGGCCGAAAGTTAGACCTAACATCTCTAAAATACAAACCTAAAACATCTCCAAAAGCACAACAAAATAAAATAAAAATCACTCTAAAATAAAAAAAAAAAAGGTTGACCGAAGGCCCATCAAAAGTAAAACTTAAACTATCCATGGGTTCCAATACTAAAGAATGAAAAAAAGCATTCATACACAAAGGTTAAAATAAATAAAAGAAATAATATCTTATCTAAAGGCAAAACAAATTAGAATCATCATGATGTCCAAACACTCTGTATGTGTAAAGGTTGTCAATCTCATATTAATGGTTAGAATTAAGATTGTAGATCAGTCAAGTCGAGTCATATAATAGGTTCTTCAAATTTAATTTGAAAAACTTAACGAATTTAAAAATATACATAAGTTTGTCTTCTTTACCATTTGAGCCAAACCCAAATGAGTTTTAATCAAACGGAGTTCGAGCAACATGGTATTTTATTGCGCATTTAAGTTTATAGAATTGAGTTCGAGCTAAACTCAAAAAATGGGCGAATTTCAAAACGTGTTCAACTTTAACTTATTTATATAATAAGTAATTCTTCAATTGTTTTTTATTGAGCCGAATATAAATCAAGTTTTAATAATTTGATTTGTTTTACCATCTTAACTTAAATAGATAAGCCAAGAAAATGAATATTAAATTAAATAAGAAATTATCAATATAAAAAATTATCAAAGCACCGTGGTGAATTTTTAAAATAAAATTTTAATCTTTTTCATAGGTCTAATACTTAGATCTACAACATAATTTGCCTTATCTAAAAAATAACTAATAAGATTATGGAACACAAATTATTAAAGGCAAGTAGAAAAATAATGATAAAAGATGGATGTAATGCCCCAAAAATATATACATCCGATAAACCCAATTTAACTCATAACATAATCTAATTCTCAATTATTCCATCATTATATGAGAGAGAGAGAGAGAGAGAATAATAAATACTACATTCATTAATGTAAGGACCAAAACCCCCCATTCCTTTCTATTCATAACTTTCTAGTAAGATTCATAAAACAAATCACATGCATTCATACATTCACTATTTCTAAAGTATGAACCTATGGCAAGTGATGACAGAAATTTAAAGCAAGCTAAGAACCAAATAATGCCCTATTGGCTACAAGTTCTAAGGCCTTGCCCGGTTACACAAAAGTGGTGTTCACACCCAAACACGAATAACCCTTGGCTTACAAAAAGAAAACAAATAAAAATCGAGCTTTGTGCTCCAAAAGTTCCTCCTTACCTTCACTTCGGCAGATGCACATCGCAATCACCTGAAAATGGTTTCCACTAAATGATGAGTATAAAGCCTAGGAGAGATAATCTAAATAAACTACATGTAGTTTAACAATATCATGAGGTGCAATGCATATGAAATGCCAATATCAAAAATATAGGTTTTCTTATTTTGAAATTCTCATGGCATGCACTTGTTCAAAAACATAACCAATTTAATGATCCATTTGATAGAACAAGGGGCAGTAAATGTAACACTGGTAATCCCTAGGTTGGTGTCTGCAAGTAGGCATATCTAGCACTATCAATCTCTACTTTATTGGTTCCTAACCGGAAGACACGTGGTACCTACTCCATGCCTGTTTTCGATCTTTCACCCTGGACATTCAGGCCAACTTAAACAATACCAATCTACACCCCTATTTGGATTTACCAAACGTATTTACCCTATAACTCAACACATTTCAAATATTCCCAATGAATCAATTTGAAACAAAATCAATTTCTCAAATCCAATGCAAGAATTAAATCATCAGATTATGCAATGTTCAATGCCATGCATGAATTTACAAATATTTCAATTTACCTATTTGACATGCAGTTTCTATAATAATCAATACAACCCTCTGCGGTTGCCCAAATAATTATCTCTGTACAAAATATAAATTTCGAGAGATAAATATAACGCATAATCTCATATTTTCAATCATTTCAACATAGGAGTAACAATTACATGTTCAATCTCCTCTTTCCCAACTCAATCAAGAATCATAATATTCTTAAAATAAATTTCATCAATCTTCTCTTTTTATTCAAACTCAAGAATTCATCAAGAATTTTCATAATGCAAAAAATAACATATGTTTCTTATGACAATTCTCAATACCTCAACATGATAAATATTTTCATCTTTCTCAAAAGTTCAATATTTTCAAATTTAACAATTTTCAAAGGAAACCTCAATGGTTTTCAATTCCCAACAACATTCTCATCAATCTCATCCCTATAAACATCCACTTTCAAATTCTCATTTGTTCAAATAAACATATGTTTTTAACTCTTGTAAGCTTTTCACAAACTCATCCCAAAAATCTAAATCTTAACATTTTAAATATCTAGGGTTTTATTAAAATTTGGGAATTTCTCATTAAAAACAAAAAAAACAAAAAACATTCAACATCCATGAGTCATACAAAAACCAAACTTAACTTGATTTTCAAAAAAAAGTTGAGAACTTCCCCCTTTTTATACATTTAATATACTATTAATAAAACTCTAATCTTTTCAAATATCACACTATCAAAATAACACATAATAAAGCTAAAACACATACAAAATATTTAGAAAATCCCTACCTCAAGTTCTAGAAGAGGAGAAGGAAGAAAATGCCCAAATTTGATGGTGCCAAAAAAAGATCTCCATCGCACAAAATGAAATCCTCGCCAAGCTCTTCACTTTTATCTCGAGAACAAGGGTCCAAAACCTAATAGATTTTGGTGGATCAAAGATTTTGTGTAATGAATGTTTAAGGAAAAAAAAATGAGAGAGAGAGTCAGGCGAGAGGCAGAGAGTAGAGAAACAGAAGAAGAGATGAAAAGAAACAAGAAGAAAAGAGAAAAAAAAAATGAGGGAGAGGAGTGGAAGGGGCAGCCCCCACGTGGATTGCCTCTCATTTACATTATATATATATATATATATATATATATCAATTAAAGTATATTTTCACACCATCATAATATTTTGTAACATAAATGATATAATATTATTTTCTCACCACAAAATATTTTTTGTTTGATGGTGCCCACCATTAATATTCGTAACTCTCTCATGGTAGTAAAATAGATAATAAGGATAATAATAATAACAACAATAATAATAGGTGATTACAACGAGTCGTGATTCAATCAATTAGATTCAAAATGAATCAAATTTAATAATCTAGAATAAATCTCCAACTAAGATTAAAATATAAAATAAAATAAATAGACTCAAGGTTGCCCCCACCATTAACAAAATCAAATATGAACTAAAATAATTAATTTTGGTCTAATCAAATAAGACGCCAAAAATTTAAATTATGTACAAGTTCAGTACCAAAAATCAAGAGTAATTAACACTCAGAAATTTCCAAGTAGGTCTCACAAAGTCAAAATCGAAGGGTAATATAATATGTTTTTCCCAAATTTAAATTGAATGGTCAACCCCACAACAACTATAATAGTAATGACAACGCAATAATTGTTTTTTAAAAAAATGCGTACTAATTCAATAAAAACCAACATCCAAACTTGCAAACGCATTAAGAAGGTCACTAAATTGGTACCATGAAAATAAATAATTAAATAAATCCAATTTGATTCAAATCGTTACAGTGGAAAACAATGTGAAGAGGTCATAACAAAAATGTGCTTAGTTAATAATTAAGCAATACAATAAGTATTTCAAAAAATATGGAGATATGCAATTATCAATTTGCTTGCCTATTGCTTTTCATTTTCACTCATACATGATCAAAGCATGCATTTGGAAACTGCTGCAATTGTCAATTGTTGATTATTCACAATTTTGTAACAGTCACTAACTGCAAGTGTTGTAAATTACTTTACAGGTTGCTTTCCCCGTCTTGGAGGAATTGGTAACTCAGAAATTGCCTAACATAATGGAGATATGAGAGAAGCAATTACTCATAGCCTTAGAAAATGAATCAAAGTCCTTCTGCCAACTGAAAGATATCAAGGTTTCTAATTGTGAGAAATTGGTACAAGTCGTTCAGTTCAATATGCTCCCACGACTGCAAAATCTGAAAAGATTCGAGGTTTTTAATTGTCCAAAGATGGAAGCGATAGTCATGGAGAAAGAAAACAAAAAAGGAACCACCGGTAATGATATGATCGTATTCTCTCAATTAACAACTCTTAATCTTTTTGAGTTGGTGAGCCTTAAAAGTTTCTACAATTGGCATAGGAGATCTGAAGCACAACCCTTGTGTAGACACCCCATTTTTGACCGTCCTCAAGACTTGGACGTCACCGTTTGAACACTCGGTGATTATCCATGTTTGTGTTCGTTTGGAGTTCCCGGAAAAAAAAAAAAAAAAAATTAAAATTCTTTTTCAATTACAATTTTAAATTTCAAACTTTTTTGAATATTCTCTTTCTATCCAAATTCAAATAAAAGTAAAATAATTTGAAGGTGGACATGCTAGGGGCCTACAACGGAAATTACAATATTACTCACACAAAAATATGTATGAATTCTAAATTTAACACTATATTTTTATTTTGAATATAAATCTTAATTTGCTTTTATTTGGCTAAAATTATGTCCAAAATTGTAATTTTCCTAATCTTGATTTGGAGTTCACTAAAAAAATATATAAATATTGGATATTTAAAAAAATATTTAAATAGTGGATATTTAAAAGAAAATTTAAATATTGGATATCATATTGGATTTCATATTTCGAGTTCAAATAATTTGAATTGTTTTGCAATTTTAAGTTAAATAGATATGCCGTGAAAATTAATATTAAATTGATATGCCAAGAAAATGAATATTAAATTAAACAAGAAATTATGAATATAAAAAATTATCAAGGCACCGTGGTGAGTTTTTAAAATAAAATTTTTTTTCTTTTTCATAGGTCTAATACTCAAATCTACAACATAATTTACCTTATCTAAAAAATAACTAATAAGATTATGGAACACAAATTATTAAAGGCAAATAGAAAAATAATGATGAAAGATGGAAAGCAATGTGAAGGGGTCATAACAAAAAGTTGCTTAGTTAATAATTGAGCAATACAATAAATATTTCAAAAGAATATGGAGATATGCAATTATCAATTTCCTTGCCTATTGCTTTTCATTTCCACTCATACATGATCAAAGCACGCATTTGGAAACTGTTGCAATTATCAATTGTTGCGTATCCACAATTTGGTAACAGTCACTAACTGTAAGTGTTGTAAATTACTTTACAGGCTGCTTTCCCCGTCTTGAAGGATTTGGTAATTCAGAAATTGCCTAACATAATAGAGATATGACAGAAGCAATTACTCATAGCCACAGAAAACGAATCAAAGTCCTTCTGCCAATTGAAAGATATCATGGTTTCTAATTGTGAGAAATTGGTACAAGTGGTTCAGTTCAATATGCTCCCACGGCTGCAAAATCTGGAAAGATTAATAGTAGTTAATTGTCCAAAGATCGAAGCGATAGTCACGGAGAAAGAAAAATAAAAAGGAACCACCAGTAATGATATTATCGTATTCTCTCAGTTAACAACTCTTAATCTTTCTGAGTTGGTGATCCTTAAAAGTTTCTACAACTGGCCTACAAGATCTGAAGCACAATCCTTGTTCAACCACCAGGTTTGATTTTCCTCATTTATTTTATTAACCCTGGCCATGGGAAAGCGTACACACAAAACAATAAAAATAAAATTCCTTTTCAATTACAATTTTAAATTTGAAACTTATTTGAATATTCTCTTTCTACCCAAATCCAAATAAAAGTAAAATAATTTGAAGGTGGACATGCTAGGGACCTACGATGGAAATTACAATAGTATCCAAAGAAAAATATGTATGAATTCTAAATTTAACACTATATTTTTTATTTTGAATATGAATCTTTATATGATTTTATTTCGCTAAAATTATGTCCAAAATTGTAATTTGCCTAATGTTGATTTGGAGTTCATTAAAAAAATATTTAAATATTGGTTTTCTAATTTGCCTAATTTAGATTTGGAGTTCATTAAAAAAATATTTAAATAGTGGATATTTAAAAAATATTTAAATATTGGATATCATATTTCGAGTTCAAATAATTTGATTTGTTTTACCATCTTACCTTAAGTAGATATACCAAGAAAATGAGTAGTAAATAGATATGCCAAGAAAATGAATATTAAAATAATAAGAAATTATCAATATAAAAAATTATCAAGGCACCGTGGTGAATTTTTAAAATAAAATTTTCTTCTTCTTCATAGGTCTAATACTCAGATCTACAACATAATTTGCCTTATCTAAAAAATAACTAATATGATTATGGAACACAAATTATGAAAGGCAAATAGAAAAATAATGATGAAAGACGGAAAGCAATGTGAAGAGGTCATGACAAAAAGTTGCTTAGTTAATAATTAAGTAATACAATAAATATTTCAAAAGAATATGGAGATATGCAATTATCAATTTGCTTGCTTATTGCTTTTCATTTCCACTCATACATGATCAAAGCACGCATTTGGAAACTGTTGCAATTATCAATTGTTGCTTATCCACAATTTTGTAACAGTCACTAACGGCAAGTGTTGTAAATTACTTTATATGTTGCTTTCCCCGTCTTGGAGGAATTGGTAATTCAGAAATTGCCTAACATAATAGAGATATGGGAGAAGCAATTACTCATAGCCTCAGAAAACGAATCAAAGTCCTTCTGCCAACTGAAAGATATCATGGTTTCTAATTGTGAGAAATTGGTACAAGTGGTTCAGTTCAATATGCTCCCAAGACTGCAAAATCTGAAAAGATTCACGATAGATAATTGTCCAAAGCTGGAAGCGATAGTCATGGAGAAAGAAAAAGAAAAAGTAACCACTAGTAATGATATTATCGTATTTTCTCAATTAACTACTCTTAATCTTTCTGAGTTGGTGATCCTTAAAAGTTTCTACAACTGCCCTACTAGATCTGAAGCACAACCCTTGTTCAACCACCAGGTTTGATTTTCCTAATTTATTTTATTAACCCTGGCCATGGGAAAGCGGTCACAGAAAAAAAAAATTAAAATTCTTTTTCAATTACAAGTTTAAATTTCAAACTTTTTTGAATATTCTCTTTCTATCCAAATCCAAATAAAAGTAAAATAATTTGAAGGTGGACATGCACCTACGATGGAAATTAAAATAGTATCCAAAGAAAAATATGTATGAATTCTAAATTTAACGCTGTATTTTTATTTTGAATATGAATCTTTGTATGATTTTATTTGGCTAAAATTATGGCCAAAATTGTAAGTTGCCAAATTTTGATTTGGAGTTCAGTAAAAAAATATTTAAATATTGGTTTTGTAATTTGCCTAATTTTGATTTGGAGTTCGTTAAAAAAAAAAAATTTAAATATTGGATATGTAAACAAACATTTAAATTTTGAATATCATATTGGATATCATATGTCGAGTTCAAATAATTTGATTTGTTTTACCATCTTACCTTAAGTAGATATGCTAAGAAAATGAATATTAAATTAATAAGAAATTATCAATATAAAAAATTATCAAGGCACCGCGGTGAATTTTTAAAATAAAATTTTCTTATTTTTCATGGGTCTAATAGTCAGATGTACAACATAATTTGTCTTACCAAAAAAACAACAAATTATGAAGACAAATTAAGATTATGGAACACAAATTATTAGAGGCAAATAGAAAAATAATGATGAAAGATGGAAAGCAATATGAAGAGTTCATAACAAAAAGTTGCTTAGTTAATAATTAAGCAATGCAATAAATATTTCAAAAGAATATGGAGATATGCAATTATCAATTTGCTTGCCTTTTGCTTTTCATTTCCACTCGTACATGATCAAAGCACGCATTGGAAACTGTTGCAATTATCAATTGTTGTTTA